TAATACACTTTGGGCACGGGTCAACAAATTTATCATAATTAAGCATGAGACATTTATCTGGATCGTTAAAGGGCAGAATAAATACACGATTTACATGAATCAATACAGACAAAATTTACTCTAAACACACAAATCAAATTAATCACAAAATTATATCATTCGAAGGGGACTAAAATAGTCCGTTTACACACCCCGCATAAGCGGTCGATAACAATTAAACAAATTAATGAAATCTGCTCTATATTTAACAATTTTAGGAACTAATCTTTTAAAAAGAAAAACAAACCACTTGGATACTACTAGAAACGCAATAATCGCTTTGTGTTACACGTAAAGAACCCAACAAAATAATTATTTAATTTATGAAGAAAAATTTGATTAATAATTAAAAACCCGTCATTAATTCAGGCGTCTGGACCAACATCAATGTCCACATTGACATTGTTTACATAGTAATAACTTTCTGTTTCGAAATATTCTTAAACACGATTTGGTTAATCTAGGGTCACTTAATACATAACAATAATGTAACTTGTTTGGTTATAAAAAAAATTTAAATAACAAAGACTATTGAAATTTTTTGTTTATACACAATGAATGTAAAGATTTCTGATACACCCAAGGTCTGTGGTGGAAAGACAAGAAAATATTGTTTTGGGAATTTCCTCTGCTTATTGCATAATTTCCGATGCTTCTTTATATTTAGTTTTGACATCCAGAATAAATAGCATCTTTATTCATCTCATAACGTAAGACCGGGATGTTCAGCCTTTGTTTATCACGTGGAATGTTATTGGAGTTTCAGTCTATTTTTTTGCTCTCAAATTTAATCAATGACTTTGTTTTCCGGCATAAGTTCGGACACCAACAGTTATTAAATATTGCGGGCGTTTTATTTGGTTTCAGGCTTTCAGCACCTATAGTAATGTCAGGTCACTCTGTATATATTTAATGTCATTTATTTTTAAGCGTAGATGTGGTCGATAATTTGCGATTGAACAGAATTTTGATCATTATATTTGAATTTGAAGCCAGTGTAATTTTGTTTTATCTCCAGCATGGCAAAAATTTGCATCTGGAGCAAGAAAGTCGAAGTAGTTCGCGCAACGCAACGTTTGTTTATAAAAGAAGTGATAGGAGAAAATTAGCAAGATATTTTTTATCTTAACGCTCCATCACGTTCAAGGACGTTGCGTTTCTATCACCGTTTTGAATGTGCCGATACTCGAAAATCCGAAAATGGCTGAATTAGATACATTTATGCTTCTTATAAATTTTGCTTAAAATTGAGATAAGAATTGCATTCTCGAATAATATACAGGCTGTTCCATTAAAAAATGCAACTTGGTGTGTCCCGCCTTTATGACTAACTCTGAATAATTAAAATTATTACTGCCTAGTAGACATTGAAGATCCCTAAAACTTTTTTCAATATCTTGTATGTATATGAGAACTCAAATGAGAAATGTTTGTAATAATTGAGCTCGTTAACACTTGTGTACAAATTCGCATCAGTTTCCCATTATACTCAGCATGTTGTTAATAGGTACCCTTTATACTCATGTGTGTGTTTTTTTAGACCTAAGGAAATCAATCTGCCTACTACTAGGTACTAATTCTAATTATTACAAACCTTTACCCCAGGCATTCATCAAAAGATAGCTCTCGACACTGCCGGAAAATGATATTCCTGGCGGATTTAGGTACGGAAAATAGACATTTGAGCCAAAGGGATACAATAACATGCTTTTCAATGCTTATAATAACATCTAACACATTATAGTGGAATAAGGTCGTTTATTAAACTACGTAATGCATGGGTATCGCTTTTTTCGCCGATCTCTTCTTTAACTTGAATCTACGAAACAAACGTGTTAAAAGAGTGTATCCGTAAAATTAACCACTATGGAAAAGTCTTGGAAAAAGTTTTGCTGGTTTGAGTATCGCATCGTTTTATCTTGCGAGAAATAGATTTCGCAATTTTTCCTCGCACTAAGCCCACAGTTTTGTTAAATAAACGATTATAATCGCGTCTTAGTGCGAAACCCGAAAGGACCGCAGAAGTTAGTTTAATCGCCTTAGTAGGTGCAAATGTTAAGATCGTTAATGTAAAACTATAACTTACGTATATGTTCTGTGAAACGTAAAATTATGCAAATTATCACCAAAAGTTTCGTAACCTTTAGCTGTAGGATTTTGGGTTTAGTGAGCATTATATCTGAAAATATCCCTAGGGATAAAAGTAAACCCACATCCTACTTTGATCAGCGTGTAGATATTGGTAAAATACGCGAGCGTTCGGCAAGGAAATTTCAGTTTATTTATTTTTTGGAGATCGCGCAAGTGGCATTTTAACTAAAATGAGAGCACTTTTAATAATTAACATAAATATAGCTGTGCAATTAAGCTAATTAAACCCTGGAAGGTTAATCGGGCCAAATTAAATAAGGTAATAAAATACAAGTTTGTTCAAAACTGAACATTGGGGGAATTACCACAAAACTGTCCGATATCGACCAGTGTAGCACCGACTATTTATTATGATTTCCATTGTGGACTTAATGAATAGAAAAATATAAATAATTTATGAAACTTCATTGTTATTTAAATTATACCTAGATTACATTCATAGTTAACGTCAACAGTAGGCACGAAAAAATCATCAACAAGGAAGGGAGTTATTTTATTATGTCATGAGAGAGTATCAATATTTGTCATATTTATAAGAATAGATGGTGCAAAAAAACTGTCGGCTGCAATATTAAGCCATTAATCATAAGTCTACTGTAGCACCGTGAACAAATAGAATTAATTAACCCAATCTTGCATGAAAAATATAAGTTTTGCATTCTATTAAGAGTCACATTATTCAGCGACTATGCGGAATTTCAGGGCGAGGTAATAAATATTACAAAATAAAATTTGTCCTATCCTTGAGAGGAATGCAAATTTTTTTATACCTCTTACTGTAATCATTTCTAGACAAAATATGCCTGAAACTATGGACCAAGCGGTATTTCGTGGTGTATAAAGATATATAATTTTGTAATGCAATTATCCATATCAACCTATGTAAGTGCCATACTAACTGTATTCTAAGGAGGTACTCGTATTGGAATAATAATTGTTTAAACGGTTTAAGCTATTTATTCCACTAAAGTTTTTGATAAGCTATTTCTCTTTATTCTTGAGTACCTATCAACATTATTTCATGTTTCAATTTTAGCTACTTAGCAAAACAATCTTTCAATGATCGTTTTGTTATACAGATGTTATTGTGACATTTTGAAGATAAACTCTGAACGTCTTTTTTTCGACATGCGAACCATAAGTGACCCGGCAGACGTCGATCGAATTCATACCCCTGGGTCCGTTAACTTGCCCCCTCCCCCTCTACCGCTTTGAGATATGATAGATAAAGCAATGCGCTAACATACACACAAGAACTTATGACGTACATCAATATCTCTTCTGGGCCCAACATTTCTGTGTAACGTTACACTCTATCCTGAAGGGGTGATAAACAAGGAAAAAGGTTTTCCCTAAGGCAAGTAACTGTAGCGCATTTTCCATGCACAATGCACATATCGGTATCCTCCGATAAGGTTTACGACCACAAGCAAGCAACATCTATGGTTAAAGCGTAGTTAATATCTTCATAAATAGGAAAGTTGACGCTGTGTATGTACCGTGTGTACTATTTTGGTTGAGACTGCGATGAATCTCGGCCGTATTTAATGATAGAAACCCTTTCCACTTTTTTGTGAAACTTTTAATACCATAAACCTCAAAACCTCAAAAATGCTACCAACCTGCCAATTTGGTTTCGTTAACCAATGATGTTTCCGCATGTTTTAACACAATTTCAACTTGGTACTAATACACTTACCAGCGGCAGACAAGCGGTTATTATTTTACTATTTTACCCACATGACAAAATTGTGCAACATTAGCGTTTAATAAACGTTTAATGGTGACCTGTAACGTTAGCGTATAAGTACCATTAACTTACTATTAACGTCACCGCTACTGCTAATGTCCGCCTTCAAGAACGTTTCTCTGTAACGACTAAATACCTACGTTTAGCAAACGTTACATCATATTAACACTTTATAACATTAGCATTTAACGTTAATTGAACGTTTGAAACAAACGCCTATGCGATGTAACTCTCTTATGTTGTATAAACGTGGTACAAAAATGTTGTATGTATGTATTAAACAATACTAAATTACGTTTATCGCCGACTAGCATTAGAATGCTATGATTATGAATGTCAAAATCATTAATAATCCGTCACTTTATGGCACGTGCCATAAAGTTGTGCCATAAAGTCGCCTTGACAACAAATTTAGGCTGATTGTTGATATATTATTTATTAATGTTAATAGTAATAGTACAATTTGAATTTCCGGAAATTGAAATGCCTGAACTAGATTGAAGAACACATTCATTTGTAGTCGATGATGCACTAGTAATTCCAGATACTGAGATAGTTGATGAAGATGCCAAATCCCTGATTCTCTGGCAGCTAACAGTGTTAACAGATCCTAAGGTTCTAGCAATTTTGTTCTTGTTTTCTCGTGAATCCGCCACATACCTACCCTTCCGCAACAGCATCGCTTTTCCAGTCACCATGTCTTTTCAATGTTCGAATGTCTGCGCCACTATCTGCAAGGATTGTAGCAGACGTTCTGCGAAATGAATGACCAGTGAACTGATCTGCATTAGGAAGGTTCAGATATTTGGCAATTTTACGAGGAATTTGACCAAAGGTATTGATGCTAATGGGATTACACGTACACTTTCCCGCACCATAGAATAGAAAGAACTTCTCTATTTTAACATGCTTTGGTCTTAAATTTATGTACTTTTTAATGAGCTCAGTGTAATTCATGCTATCATCATTTAAAATTGTGAATGTTCTGGGTCGATGTGTTTTCGTATCTTTGAGATTCACCACAAAAACTGCACCCTCTTCTTGGACATCGCTTACACGTAAATTGTAAAACTCTATCCTTCTGCAAGCACCAAATAATCCAAATATTGCAACAACCTAAAATCATACTTTTATAGTAACCTTTTGTAGCAATAAGAGAAACCCACCCACCTTCATAAGGAGATATTGTTCGTCACAAGCCGAGGTCAAAAAATTTATTAACTGATTCTTTGAGAACACCAAAGATTTTTCTGCTGAATACCCAACTGAACACTTTTTTAAAAAAGCAGAAAGTTTAGAAAACTGGCTAATGTCAATGTCATTTTTTATTCGTAACATACATTTCAGCTTGGAGTACATGCACCACAATGACGAGGACTTGTAATTTTTTGACTAAAACGGAAGAAACAATAATTACAATTAGGTATATAATTATTTACAGTCTAATTGATCTACCTGATCCAGAAAATACGCCAGCAAAACCTTCTCTGTCACAATTTCGGCATTATTGTTCCGCATCCAGTGACAAAATTTTTCAAATTCCTTTTTGTAAAAGTCTTCTGATTTCTTTGGACACAAACTGGATTCCGCTTCTTCCGCTTTCTTTAAAATTGCATCACACAAACTCAAATCTTCCGCGAAATTCATGTTTTGTGCGTGTTTTGTGCAAATGGCGCCGCTTTATTTATTTATTAACAAAAGCGAGCTATCAAAAACCATGGTAATGTTTAAAACCGCTTTGATGTAATTTTAGATTTAGGTATTTCAGATTTAAGTTTATCGATCAGAATTTTTATTTTTGAAAAGTTCTAGTCGGCGATAAAATAGCGTATGAAATTTGTTTATAATGCAAGGGATTATGACATTCGTGACATTACCGCATTCGCTTCGCTCATGCGTTAAACATTCACTCATGCCATAATCCCTTGCATTATAAACTAGTTTCATAATATACTATTATATCATCCTTATACATTGACGGTCGGTATTATAAAGTCATATTTACTATGTTGTAAGCTAACAGTGTTGTTAAGGAATGTCTTAACAACACCGTTAGCTGACAACAAAGTTAAGTCTGGCTTTATAATACCGGTCGTCAATGTACAAGGATGACATAAACGTAATTTAGTATTGTCACAGAACTGTGGTATTGGTTAACAAACATTTTTGCGCTTTTGATACTAATTGTGCACAATGTAAAAAAATTCAAATTCAAAATAATTCAAATAATTTTTTACCAGAAATTTAATGTATATAAAATTATTTCATTCACATCAATCACTTCACAAAATTGTTAAAAATGTCCCACCATTATAAAGAATGCACAGTTACACACATATTTTCATATCATCGAAAACTCATCCTAACATTGCTGGTGTAATGTTCATTAGTTCCTCTTCGATTGCATTTTGAAGTTCCTCAGTGATGTGCAGACGATTTCGAAAAATATTGTATTTCAAAATCAGAAAAAAAATCTAACGGGCTTAGATCTGGAGAACGTGGTGACCACAATCCTCTGCTAATTAATGGATCATCGTATAACTGTTGTTCGGCATCATGGAGTAGGTATTTGTAAATGGAAAATACCTTATAGGAAAACGTTGCATATCAGGAAATTCTTGATAGAATGGCTGGCGACAGGACTGAATGGAATACGTCCATGTTCCATCCTGTAGACTTGCACTTCGATAATGTTCCTTTAAGACGAACGCGTCATGTTTGGGTGAAAAAGACATTGTGAAAGATTCTAAAAAAGTAAGGTTATACATCCATAAAATAATCTACGTCTTTTACTTACTTGGTAGAACTGTTTGATTTAAAATAAAAAGATGAGCGTACAAGGTGGAAAATACAAAGAGAAAATCAACACGTAAAAATCGCAGTAATGGATAGCTTATTCAGCTTATTTGTTGAAGTCGTTGTCGTTCATCCTTGATGAAAAAAACCACAATTTTTAAGCACTTAATTTAAACTGTCCTCCACTTATTTTGAATCACATCAATCAATTCACAGAAAACCAAAATGATGTTATAGTAACTTTTTGTAACTAGGGAATTTTGATATAGAAGTTGTATTAGTGCAGGTTGTATTAAGTTGGCAGTACGACGTTCCAAATATTTCACTTATTTAAATACAGTCTCATCAATTTTGTTTTAATTAATAAACTTCAGAAATTAGTAGATTAACTGTGGAACAATTCATAAAGGCAAAATACAGTCCTTCGTCCTTTTATATAAGTTATGTGAAATTCAGTCGTGTCACTGTCGATTAATGACAAAGCTAACAGCTTACAGATTTCGCCCGTATGACACTGCTTCTACTTATATTGGTGACGGACATAAAAAGACAAACTAAGGTTTCTTTTCGCGATTTGCCATTAACGGTCACTAACGGATCGGTCCTTAGTGGGTTGTTGTTACGTGATAGGTGTCACTCATTAGGACTCATTCAGATTGTCACTTCATAACGATACTACACAAATCAGGCTCACGATATTAATAACGCAGAACAAGTGCTAAAAGCAATAAGCTGCTTCTTTAAAATATTGTTTTCATATTTTCTTCTTGTAATTTGATTAACACTTTATCAGCCTTACATGTCTCGCTTTTAATCAAATAGAAAGGGAATCTTGCCTTTCTGTATATCAAAACCCTAATTTGTAAATAAATACAATCGAATGTCAAATAGGGTAGTGAATTTAGGTTTTCCTCTTTAATACCAACTTAAAAACGGTGCGTTATTAGGTCCATTAACGCACTGTTTTGAGCGGAAAACAGTGAGTTAGTAAGAACATTTAAAAATCGAAAAAGAAAAAAACATAAAAGTCAGTGATTCATTGTCCTAAAGGCCACAAGATCTTATTTTCAAGGGGGTTTTCATGAATTTCAGTGGTACCCTAGGAGTTTTCTCATTTGTCAAACAAATTGAACTTCATTTGTATAACTACCGCAAACTAAGACTACCTACCGTATTCCATTCTCCCATTTTATTGCAAATCAATTTTGCGTACCTAATAACCCTCCGAAAATAATCTGTATCTATGTAACCCTTGATCAGAATGATACCCCGCCAGGATGATAAATTGTTACAACACAAACATTTCTCCGGTAGAGTATACTTGAGGTCGTGAAACCCTTGGACTTGAGTGTCCATAAATAAAAGGTGAAAAACATAAACGACAAAAAGCAGGAGGTGGTGGAGAGGTAAAAAAAATTTCGGTCGATCAAGTATTCTAAGAATGTTTCTCTTAAACAGATCTGAAACAAATAAGTCGAGAAATTGTTCTAGCGAAATGTAAATTTATTTAATGAAATCTTTGTTTTCTTTATAGTCCTTTCATCTTCCATGCCATCATTTATATTCATATTGAAGTACATATACAAAACCATTTTGTTTTTATACATTTTTTTTTATTAAAGTAGTCACATTCGCCAATGGATATCGATCCGCCGTTTGTATAACTGAAATGCAAACGCGTGAAAAAGAAAAAAAACATAAAGGCGGTAAGCAATACTTTCCCGTCAACGTAAAAGCAGACGTTTTTCTTACGGCTGTAGAAATATGAGGACGATCAATATATCTTCATATATATATTTATGAAAGCTATCAAGTAAGAACAGCCGGATATCAGATTTTAGTAAATTAACATCGAATTTGTCTTTATCACGTTCCATCGCAGATTTTTCCGTTTCTTCGTTTTTATTAAACCAAAATTGAACAGCGTTAATACTTGTTGGGAAATTGAATTTTTCGTTTTAATATCGAAAGCGATTTTAATCATATGCAGTAATAAAACTGAAACAAGTGGCACTAACGTCTATTATGGCCCTGTGTGTTATATTATGTCAGCAACATATTGTACACATTTACGCTATAATGTGACATAAATCATATTAAAGGAAGGAAACGCTCCAACTTTTAGTCGGCAGGAGAGCATCCTTACTTGAAAATTTATCATGTGCTATACACAATTCACCTACAGCCTAAAGATTTAATGGCGATAAATTCGCAAAAAAAAAGAGAGTGAAAATTGTTCCCCACTTTCCTATTTGCTGAACATACGTCAAATACCTACCAACATTATTTAGTTACGCTCCTCGAACGGAAGTGTGCTTCAGGCTAATTGATTGTGGATTTGTCACATGCAAGTTTTGGACGTCACGGCACGTGGACTACGTGTTTACGCAAAGTATATTCGTCATTACTTCCACCCTGTGAAGGAAAGACGTTGTAAACACAAAATCGATTCATCTCGGCAAATACTGTACAAGGCCTTATTAAACTCTATTTGCGCCGTCTATGTTTGTATTGCTCCTTATGTTGTCTAAGTCCACATAATATATAAAATCGAAAATTTGCAAATCAAGGACTTCAGTTTACTTTACCCTCGCATTTTTTAATGTAGGTACTTAATCACTAATTTGCATTCCCCGTGTTGTCTCAGGCTTGACAAAATAAAATCACGTAATTCGTGCTTCTATTTTCTATATTGGGGTCCGAAATTATTAAAGTTATCCCCAGGCTGTGTGCCTTTTATATCTTGGCTTTGTCAATGAAGCTTTCGCCCGTAATTTATCGAATGTTGCTAAACTGATTGAATCTGAATTATTAGAACGACGCAAGTGGTTAGTTGTAGTACATCACGTAATAAATTTAGCGTAATAAATTTGAGAAGAATATTGATGGATAGTGAATGAAGAGACCTTTCAAACGATATATTACAAGCCCATACCTTCCATTAAAAAAATTGGGGGTTGTAACTGTCACTCGACAGCCGGTGTTAAAGGTAAGGATCACATTTTTACATTGAAGAATGTGTCAATTTATAATTTAAATGACGTGTTTCGGTATTTTCTATAAACATCGATAGTAACCGAAATAATGAATTTATTCCATTGGCTTTTCCACACTGTATAAGTTGTCCTACTATGGTGGGTGGTTTTCACACTTATCTATTCCAATCTGTACGATGTCGAAGGTCCAAAAGGAGTTTTATCGTTTACTGCGAGTGTCTCACCAAAACATGTGTCTTCCGTTGACCTGATTTTTTTTTCATGGAAGAAATTTATTTAAACATAAAGCAACTTCCCTTATAACAAGGATAGCTTAAATTTGGTGTCAATAAAATTAAACATTCTTTACGGATATACAGTGATATTCATATAGAAGTATACATGGGGATTTCCTATATCTACTTTCAAATGATAAAAAGTCTTCTGAAGCATGCCTAATTTTATACAACCAAAATAACTTCTTGAAAAAATTAAACATCTGACTGTCATATTACTTATTAATTTGAATATTGTTGCCTTGGGTTTCACATACAATAAATCCCTTAACCTGTTTTAACTGTTACCGGCACTATACCAATTGGAAATATCAACAATGCATCGCACAATAACGAAAATTAGAATACGGAAGTCAAAGCGATAATATTCAAATTAATTAATATGACAGGCAGATCTTCATTTGTTGTAGGTTGTTATTTTGGTTGCATAAAGTTAGGCGCCCCTCAGAAGACTTTTTATCATCTAAAAGTAGGCATAGGAAATTCCCACAGGAAATCCCTATATACTGTATTCAGAAAATAATGTTACTTTTCTCATTAGCGCTGGGGGTGTTCCCAATAGTAT